TCTGTAATTGGAAAACCACCCATATTTCAATCGAGTCAAAGGCCTTCTCATAGTCCAGAAATGCTAGGCACAGTGGTTGATTGTACTCTTCAGTCTTCTGTATAATCTGCCGTACTGTGTGGATGTGGTCTATGGTGCCGTATCCGCTCCGAAACCTAGCCTATTCCGGTGGTTGGAAGTCATCAAGTCTTCGCGCAAGACAGTTCGTGATTACTCTTGAGAACAGCTTAAAGACGTGGCTTAGAAGGGATATGGGTCGATAGTTCTTAAGTAGGGTCTTATCCCCCTTTTTAAAGAACAAGACGACCACACTCCTACTCCACATCTCCGGAGTTCACCCTTCGGTGTTAAAAAGCTTTTGGAGCTCCCTCAGTACGGGTTTACCTCCAGCTTTCAAGAGTTCTGTTGTAGCACCATCCTCTCCAGGTGCTTTTCCATTTTTAAGCTGTCCAAGAGCAATCTCGATTTCGCCAATATTGACTTCTGGCAGGTCTTCCGTGAAGTGGCGTGTTAATGTGGCTCTAGAATCCTCATTTCCGGGATCGGGTCGCGATGCATGTGATGCGTACAACTGGCTGTAGAAGTCTTTCACTTCCGAAAGGACTGCCAGCTTTGAAACAACAACTTCGCCATTTGCTGTGGTCAACTTCGTCAGATGGCTTCTTCCAAGAGATTGTACGAACACTTTGGACCCTCGATTCTGCTCGATCGCTCTCTCGATCGAAAGAGTATTGGGGCACCGGAGGTCGTATCGTACGTGCTTGCTGATCTCTTGGTTTGGAGTCCGCTTTGCTGACGAAGTGACGGGTAGATTTTCACGTCATTCCTTCATTAGCCCTAAAGTCTCTTCCGATAGCTTTGACTTCCTGCCCTTACGCGGCGTTGCACACCTACCATGACTAAACTCTAAAATAATAGTAATAGTTTATGTGTTTCTTGTTATAAAAAAATATGTTGTAGGGGTACAAACTATCGGTCTGTGACACCGTGCGCGAGTATAGGTGTTACAAAAATTGGCGCGAGTATAGGAAGGTTAAATACTAAGCAGTTTCCTGCATTACATAGTAAAAAACAAAATGACAATGAACATGACTTCACCAAATTGTTGATAAATGACCATATTGTAAATATTCTTGTACAAAGTCTAATTAAAATTAAGGCAAGCGGTGTAACAAATTCCAGTAACATTAAAGAAGCTCTTAGAGAAGTAGTAACATCATACAAAATTAAATAATGGCTTTAAGGGTTATCCAGTGGAATGCTCAGAGCATATTATGCAATAAAAATTGTCTTACTCATTTTTTATATGAACAAGACATTCATGTAGCATTATTATGTGAAACATGGTTGAGACCCGAATTAAATTTTACAATAAGAGGCTACACAGTAGCCAGGTTGGACTCTGGTAATAGACACAATGGTGTTGCAATTGTCATTAGAAACGATATCCCCTTTCAGACAATAGATACTACATTTGATAACTCTATTCAAAACATAGCTATTCAAGTAAGATTCCATAATACAGATCTTTCCATAGAAGTATTTATTGTCCTCCTTATAGTACACCTAGTTTTTGTAAAAATAAATTAGATAATTTAATAAAGCTGATCCCTGAGCCAATGATAGTTGCTGGTGATTTTAATGCCCTCAATACCTTGTGGGGGTGCCACTCAACTGATAACCGTGGTAGAGACATTAGTGACATAGTTGAAAACAATGATTTATTTCTATTAAATGATGGCAGGGCCACAACAGTAGGTTCTGCTAGTTGGAGGCGAAGTGCTATAGATCTCACTATTGTTTCTTCTTCCATTGCTCTTGCGTGCAATTGGGAAGTCCATGATGATCCTCTTGGAAGTTATCACCTCCCTGTTATGACAGAAATATCACTACAATCACATTCCTATGCAAACTCATCATCTAACATTCCAATTCATTATAATCTCAAGTTAATAGACTGGAAAAAATATTCAATTTTAGTAAATCAGAAGCTCCAATCTTTTAACATAATGGATAATGTCATTGACTCATATAACAGTTTCTGTGGTGTACTACATGAAGCAGTTGCTGAATCAAGTCCTCAAAGACCCATATCTAGGTCAAACAATAGATTACCTCATAAAAAGTCTAAGTTAACAGTTCCATGGTGGAACATCACATGTAGTGAGGCAGTGAAAGCTTCAAAGCAAGCATATACTTTATTTAAATCCAACTCTACACCAGAAAATTATGTAAATTTCAAAAGGTTACAAGCACGTAAAAAAATGATCCTTAAACTTGAGCAAAAAAAAAGTTGGCAAAGTCTTTGTGAATCTTTTAATAGAAATACTCCCATTAAGTTTATATGGCAATATATGAGAAAATTTAATAGTACTTCTCCTGGTAGCAAAAGCTTTTCAGATAAGTGGGTCACCCCCTTTCTAAACAAGTATACCCAAGACAATGATTCAGAAACTTCTCCTTTTATATTACTAGGACATAAATTAAATGACACCAATAACTTTATTGTAAACCCTTTTTCTTTGCAAGAACTTCAAAGTGGCTTAAAATCTCGTAAAAATACTGCATGTGGACTAGATTGGATATCTTATCGTATGTTTAAGGAACTAAATGATAGTTCACTTCAAACCTTTTTATATATCCTCAATTCATTATGGATCCACGATGAAATTCCTGATTCTTGGAAAACAGATTGTATAGTCCCTATCTTGAAACCAAACAAGAAACCAGGTTTAGTTGATTCATACCGCCCCATAGTCTTATCTTCATGTGTTGGTAAGATATTTGAACAGTTGCTTAAACAGAGACTAGAGTTCTATATAGAGAAATATGGAATTTTACCTGACAACCAATTTGGATTCAGGAGAGGGAAATCCACTCGGGATAGTATATGTCATCTTCATCTGGATATTCTGAAAGCTTTCTCAGATGACAAAGCACTTCTTTGTGTCTTCTTTGATATAGTTGGTGCTTTTAACAACATTAACCACCAAGTTTTATGTTCGGAACTAAATTCCTTTGGATTACCTGCAAAAGTCATAAATTGGATTTTTAATTTCATAAATGGTAGAAAAGTTTTTGTTAAATATAATTCTATGCTGTATGGCCCTAAATACTCATTTAAAGGTAGTTGTCAAGGTAGCATTTTAAGTCCTCTTTTTTTCATTTTGTATATAAGAAAGCTTAATATAATCTTAGGAACTAGTGTATATAATTTGCAGTTTCCTGATGATTTAGCTATTTACTGTAGCTCTAACAGTATTCAGGAATCAGTTGATAAATTGAACCACACAATAACAAGACTTAAATCATACTTTGATTCACTACATTTGAAAATTAGCCCAGAAAAAAATAAAGTAGTTGTTTTTAGCAAAAGAAAATGTTCAGTAAATGTAAATATTATATATGATAATTCAATTTTGCCTGTTGTAAATAATGTAAAGTTTTTAGGGGTGATATTTAGTAGTAACTTGTCTTTCAAGTCCTATGTTTTAAATATAATTGATCGTGCTAATAGAGCATTTAATATTTTGAGAAGTTTAGCGAAACCTTCATGGGGTTCAGATCCAAAAATATTAAAACTTCTATATAAATCACTTGTTCGGAGCCATTTCGAATATGGATTTTTATTTTATTCAAATTTAAATCAGTGTATAGAAAAATTGGAAAAAATACAAAATAAATGTCTAAGACTTATCATTGGTGCAATGAATACATCACCAATCAATTCATTACAGATTGAATGTAATATTGAACCTCTTAAATTCAGATTTCACTATTTAAGAAAAAAATATATTTTAAAACAATTTTCTGTCCTTAACAACAGACTACTCCCAAAAATATTAGGTTTCACAAACAATGTTAATTGTCCATTTATTTCTGAAAATGTAAATACTTTATATAACAATTATTATAATATTGTAAAAAGATATATGAATTGGCCTTGTTACTAGGGTAACTATGATATTAAATTTAATGACATTCAAGTTGATATTGATAACAAGTTGCAAACTAAGCAAGATGTATATAGAGAGTTGTATAAATGGTCAAGTTATAAAAAAATATACACAGATGGTTCAAAAACTGCTACATCTACTGGAATTACTATTTACATCCCTCACAAGAAAACTGGCTTTGGTGTTAAGATAAATCCCCACTGTTCTATTTTTACTGCAGAAGCTCTAGCCATCTTAGAAGGATTAAGCTATATGGAAGATATTGAGTGTAATATAGAAAAGTGGCTAGTAGTAACAGATAGTCAAAGTGTGCTTTATGCATTGCAGAACCACACCTACAGAGCTGACACAAATTATATCATTGAATTGATACGAATTAAATTAGGAAACTTACAGCAGAAGAATATTAAAGTGGCCTTTTTTGGAAGCCTTCACACATCGGAGTTCATGGAAATGAAGATGCTGATGCTCTTTGTACTGCTGTAGTGAGAAACGACAGATGTGCTGTGAGAGATATAGCTGTACCATATACAGATCTCATGCCTAACTTCAAACAAGAAATCAAGACCCAATGGCTCGACCAATGGAAGATATCTCTGCAAGAGAAAGGAAAATGGTTTGGAGAAATTCAGAAAGACATACGTGCCTCCTGGTTTGATAAAGGACAGTACAGAACAAGAGATTTTTATACCACTTTATGCAGACTTCGAAAGGGTCATTGCCTTTTTAAAGATCACCTGTACCGGCTAAAGATGGTCAGCTCACCTGTTTGTAACTTCTGCAACATAGATAATCAGTCCCTGGACCATATCTTTTTCTTTTGCGGTTCATTTCAAGTACAGAGAAATTTGCTGCTTCAAGACCTTCGAAGTACTTTTGGCGAAGAAACCATCCCGCGCGGCTTGAGAAAACTTTTACAAAATAAAGACACCTACATTCCTTTATACAAATTTATAAAAGCTACAATCAAAACACTTTAAGAAAGAAAAGTTAACAGACAGGGCTGTATGGACTCAGAATCCTTTGCCCGTCCCAACAGGGACAAATTAACCAAAAAAAAAAAAAAAGGCGAAAGGCAAATTAAACAAACCATTTGAAGAAGTTAGGATGAAGTAAATAATTAACTTATGAGCATTTTCATCTTACTTTGAATAGAAGAAATTATTATTTTCAACGCATACAATGAATAGTATTAATTATGGCAAGGCTTTGGAATATTGGGCTGATGTTCCTCCTACAGTGGATGGAGTGCTTGGTGGTTTCGGATTCATATCAGATCTAGATATTAATGGATCGAAAATATTCCTTGAATCCCTCTTTTCATCAGAAAGTGGCCCTGGTTGCACGTTAGCGTTAGATTGTGGTGCGGGCATAGGAAGAATAAGTAAGCATTTGCTATTAGAGCATTTCGAAACTGTTGATATTGTAGAACCCGACTTAAAATTTATCAATTCAATTAGAGAATTTGTTGGTGAAGGAAATTCAAAGATATGTCAACTTTACAATGTTAGTTTACAAGAATTTAAACCTGAAAGAAAATATGATGTAATATGGAATCAATGGGTGCTAGGGTACCTAACTGATGGAGATTTAGTGTCTTATCTAATAAGATGCAGGTAAGAGATACTTTGAACTTGTATTCAATTTTGTTTTTTTTTTATTATTTAATTCCCACAGCATAAAAAGGAGCTCAAAAATAATGCATCCTTTTTCAATCAAAGTAATGTTTTAATTTTCATGTTGTTGTATAATGTAATAATCAAGCCTGTTTATCAAGATAGCATCACATCTCTGGACACAAAAAATATGCTCCAGACACTTACTGTAAACCCCTTCCAGACATACCCAAGACACTCAAAAACAGGATCAATCTGGGGAAACCTGGATAAATCTGGTGAAACCTGGATAGAGCCCTACATAGGGTATGTATTTAGGATTAAGGGCATGTGGTCCTACTAGTTTGTTCTACTGGTGGGACCACAGTATACCACTATGTACCTGTGGTCCTACTGGACTAAAACAATTAATTAGTTATGGTTTAGCGGCTTACGGGCGCATGTATCATTTGTACATTGATAAAGTACAATGTTTGCAAGTAAGATTTTTAAAACTTCTAGTATCCAAAACATGTTAAACATAACTTGAATAAATGTTATGACAGGCCGTTTGTGAAGTGTAAAATTCTGCCAATTCATGAAAAAATTAATTACTTTTTAGCAGTGGATCAATTAAACTCGATATTTAGTTTGCTGAAACCATAATTTATAAATCATAACCTAAGAATTGTAGTTTGTAAACAGTTTGACGAACTGGGTGCACAAAATTATTATGGAAGGAGAACTTGGGAGTATTTATTTCCACAAATATTTAATAGCTTGGATATGGAGGATTGTACTAGCATATTAGGTTTCAAAATAAAGTAAAACAAATCTTGTTAGAAGAATTTGATAAGTAAATCAAACTGTTTATTTACTTAAATTTTTTATTGTATTACATATTCTATCTCTCTTATTACATTAAACAAATTTTAGTTCATTTTTTTTGATAAAAGGAATAATTTTTAATATTTATTGTGATATTTGCATGTGAAGATGTAGATACAAATACACACATCAAAAGTGTCTAGGGATCAAGCATTTTTATGTGGATTTCTTGAGATTGAGATGTGGCTTTGTAATAAATTTATGATTTTATAAATTTATATGGATCCTTTTTGGTGCATTTCATAATTTGAATCAGGAACTGTGAATCAAATTCGAGTAAAAGATGAAAATCAGCTGTCAATATTTTCCCTATAAAAACATACAACGCATTGAAGACATTATTAGTGCTACTGTTTCCCTACTACTAATTAAAACCAACGTTATTATGGAGCGGCGACGTCATTTAAGCAGGGAAGAAATGCTCAGAGCCGTGGGAATGATAGAAGCTGGTTGCCGGCAACGTACTGTGGCTTTAGCTCTGAATACAAGTCAGAGTGTTATCAGTCGACTTTGGACACGATACCGAAGCACTGGTACCGTGGCTGAGCGCCATGGAGGACGGTATCGCTGCACCACACGGAGACAAGACCGATACATTCAAATCTTAACTCGAAGAGCTCCAACAATAACCGCCATGATGTTAGCCGTGAGGCTTCATCACTCTTCAGGGAACTTAATTAGCGACCAAACAGTCAGAAACCGCTTGCATGAAGTGAACCTTCATTCCCGAAGACCGCTACGGGTACCACCTATAGCAATGCACAATCGTAGGATTCGATATCAATGGGCTCTTGAACACAGAAATTGGGCAGAAGAACAATGGCGTTTCGTGTGCTTTTCTGATGAGTCTCGTTTTGGTATGAGACCGGATACAAGACGTATACGACACTGGAGAACCCCTGGACGCCAACAGCGATTAAAATCCTGCCAGGAAGTCCATCCTTATAGTGGTGGAACCATCATGGTATGGGCGGGTATTTGGATCGGCGGAAGAACTGAGTTGATTTGGATCAGAGGCAACCTCAACGCTCAAATTTATGCTGAGACGATTGTATCAGACGTCATCGTTCCTCTACAAGTGCAAATCGGTCCCTTATTTCAGTTAATGCATGATAATGCACGACCGCACACCGCAAGAGTTGTAAGACAGACTCTCGCCGCAGCTAACATCAATGTCCTGCCCTGGCCTGCTCAGTCGCCAGACTTGAACCCGATTGAGTATGCATGGGATATGCTACAGAGAAGAGCTCTGCCGAATATGGAGGGTATCCAGTCGCAAGAAGACCTTTTTTTGTTGTTGCAACGAACATGGGCGGCCATTCCACAGCGTGATTTGGATGAACTCATTTTGAGTATGCCAAACCGATGTTCTTGTGTTGTTAGTGTTCGCGGTAGAAATACGGATTATTAATTGTTTAAGTTACCCAATAAAATTTTAGAGAAAACTGTTATTTCAGTCTTTTTTTCTAACTTTTGTGTTAGTGGTTCAAATGTCAAAAATCCCTTTATTAGGAAAATGGCAAATTTCTTTATTAATGCAAAGGTGACTTGGTTTATCGTTACTGTGACAAACGAAAACACTTTATTTGATGAATCCTTAAAGAAAATTTTAATTAATATCAATCAGGAGAAAAGTTATTGCAAAAATATATGTTGATCCCTAGACACTTTCGATGTGTGTATATTCCTACATTGTTTTGTAACAAAATTCAAATAGATATCTGATTAAAAATACTGCATTTTTCGCCAATAAACTGTTTATCAGTTTGGCAAAATTAAAAAGTATAGTAAAACAATGTAGAATTATATTTGAGAAATAAATAAAAAAAAAATAGTATTGATAAATAATAAATGCTTCTATTATGTGAATTGTCTTGTATAAATAATATATGTTAATTCATGAAATAGCTCTGTGCTTACTGAGTTCTGGTTAAAGGTTTTTTTTATCTTTTCGGTACAGTTATTCTATTAACATATAAAGGTCTATATCTAAATGATTAGAAGCAGCCTACATTTTTCCTGGGTGACATTGTAAATTGTGCTTTTGATTGTCTTACCAATTATGGTTTAAATATTAATTATGAATAGCTGTCCCAGGCCAAGAAAATTATGTGTACTTATAGTTAAGTGCTAAACTAGAATACGAATTTCGACTACCTCCAAAGAAAAGTTGTGATATACTGTAAAACTTTTGTTCGTAATTTTACAAGATTTACAGAACTTGATAGCAGCATGCCAAGCCATACTGTTCCCGCCCTCGAAAATTCAATAATACGTAAACACAATATTTTATTTATTTATTGGTACTTACTATATTAATTGCCCTAGCCACAACAATCATGGGTACATAGTGGTGTACTGTGGTCCCACCCGTAGGACAAACCGGTGGGACCACTGCCCTTAATAGTATTTAGACCAGAGCGTAATAAAAAAGAGGTAGCGAACAGGAATTAAAAAAAAACATAAATAATGATGGAATATAAGAGGCGAAATATTTTGATTATTGTCTGATTTATATTTTTGGTTACAGAGATGCCCTTACTGACAATGGAGTCATTATTGTTAAGGAAAATGTAACATCTACAGGTAAAGCAGAGAAGGATGAAACTGATTCTTCAATAACGCGATCTTTAAAACAGTTCACTAAAATTTTTAAAAGTGCCAATTTAAAAAGAATTAAGCAAAGTAAGCAAACAAATTTTCCTAGTGGCATCTACCCAGTGTACATGTTTGCTCTTGTACCAATAAAAAGTATTGCAGTAGAAGTGTAAGTCAGAAATAAATCATTTTATTAGAAAATGTGTGTTATTATTAGGGCTGCCATCGCTAAAATGTGGCAACCAGGATCAGAGGCGTGATAACCCCGGATTTTGGAGCCCAGAACCCGGACAGACCAAAAAAAAACAGTTAAAAATGTCACAAATCAACTTTTGGCAAACAAGGCAAAAGAGCTAGCGGTCTACCTCATAATAAGTGGTCACTGCTGCCCATGGACAGTTGCAGCACCAAGGGCCACTCATGCGTTGCCGGCTCTGAACGAAAAGGTTCATCCGCCTTTTTAAGATTGCCATATCATAGCTATAAGAAAAAAATACTGAGGAAATTTCGTTCTAGATCTAGCTGGTACACAAAAGAAAGAAACACATGGTGCTCGAACGCCAGGCGTCCAGATGATGGGCGGTAACTTCTCTGCGGTGTGTGGTGCTGTGAAGAAACTTGGCCACTGGCATCCGGTTGAATAAAATTCCTCGGAACACTCTCCATTGATTGTGTAGACGGTACGAAGGACTTGCGTCATTTTACGTGTTGTACCGTCTGCGCATGCTAAGGGGTTGCAACGCATGAGTGAGCTCAGGAGCATCGATATGTCAAACTGGCCGCTTTTGTATCCGGTCAAGATGAAGGAGCTGGTATTGGGGTGCTCCAGCCCAGAGGACCAGTGCTTTGTAAAGTAACACCCGATATTTAGGCTTGAGGTACTTACTAGATCTATTGAACACACAAGCTTTTGACACAAGTCTGTCTTTACACCCTTTTCTTCCATCCGAGGGATGCTTGACCGGCTAGTGTAAAAAGTTTCAGTGCTGTCATCCACATAGCAACGAATGCTGTTATTGCGGACAGTATGGGCGACAAAGCTGATCTTTGTTAGAAGTCAGCATTTATGGTTACATTGTTAGAATAGATTTATTTATTTTCAAAGACATTTAAATTGACGGATTAATTGGCAACCCAAAACAGGAAATTTTTAAACCCGGACGACAAATGAAACCCCGCCCGGACGCCCTGTAAACTAGGACAAATCCGGGGAAACCCGGACGGATGGCAGCCCTAGTTATTATAGTACCTGGTACTGTTATGCAAAGGAGTTCATAACCTTTTTATCATGTTGAGAAAAGGCTTTGACACCTTCCTCGCTACCAGGGTTGCACATTTGATCACAGATTTGGCATAATGAGATAACACAAATTGTAGTGTATAGACACTCATAGTTGTGGATAAAGTGGCTTCCACACGATACAATTTTACGTCCAATTTTATTAGATTGACAATCTAATTGTGTTGTGTGGACGGAAATATGAAATTGAAGGTCATTGGATGGTCGGTATGGGTACGGCCAGAGTGCACTCATTCAGATTCTGTAAAAGCAGTGAGAGCTGGCAGTGGTGAAGGACAACGTCAAAATCCACAAAGGCATAAAAGCAATTCGTTCTGGAGCAGGTGGTGGCGGCGGCGACAATTGAAACGCAGACACTTTTCAAAGTATACGCTTGTATTCTCAAATACAAATATTACACTTTGCAAGGAATATGAATCGGTAATATTTAACACTATACGATGCAAATTAAACAATATTAACATGGATAGCAAGCGATCTAAATGCAACAGCAAAATCCCTACATGACGACATTTTTCCAAGAGAACGATTAGGGCAGAGACAATAAATCTATATAAAAAGTAGTCTATATACTCATATAGACTACTTTTTATATAGATGATATACTATAAGGCTACACTACATAAACCATGGACTTAATGCTAATGCAAGAGAGCATATACATGTTCAACACTTCCCCTTATATGCTCCCGCAATACATGTGAAACTTTACACATTAAATAGAAGGACTCTACAATGACTCTACACAATAGTTAGTTCACTATACACATGATGACTCTACAATCTCTACATGCATTAACAATGAGTTACAAATTTATAACTTTTACATTCATACATTTCACAAACTCAGCATGCTTAGAACTACACAATGGTTTCGTGAGTACATCTGCTATCATTTTATCAGTGCTTAAGTACATAATAGACACAACATTATTCTGTACCAGTTCCTTAAAATAATGGTATCTTAAGTCTATATGTTTTGTACGCTTATGACAGTACTCTTTAAGTTGTAATAATTTATGGGCGCTTTGATTATCATTATATAAAACTATCTTTAAACTCATTCACAATATTTCTGACATGAAATTTTTAACAAATCAGATCTCCTTACACACATCGCTTATCGCTACATATTCAGACTCTGTGCTTGAGAGAGCAACGCAACGTTGTTTCCGAGATTCCCAGCTAATTAAATTTTGCCCTAGCTTTATAAGAAAACCTGTATAAGATTTTCTATGGGTACGGCCAGAGTGCACTCAGATTCAGATTCAGACTCAGAAAACAAGCGCGAGAAATATACAGTGTAGTTTAAGCAGGTTGCCTGCGGCCAATATGGCCACCCTGCTTTAACTACACTGTTTATTTCTCGCGCTTGTTTTCGGAATCTGAATCTGAATCTGAGCGCACTCTGGCCGTACCCTATCATTGGGATCATTGGCCCAGTCTGCGTCAGTAAAAGCAATTAAACTCAATTTACTACTACTCTTATAAAAACATAAGGAGAAGTGAATTGTTCCTGCTAAATAACGCAATATTCTTTTAGCTGCTTGCCAATGAGTGATGTCAAAGCTAGTATTAAACTAGCTTAATTTACTACAGGCAAATGAAATATCGGGTCGAGTACACACAGATAAATACATAAGATACCCCATCAGTTGCCTGTAGTGATATTTTTCATCACAAACAGAATCCGACTCTGGTTTTACAAGCTTACAATTTACAGGCATGGGAGTTGCAACTGGTTTGCAATTCTCCATACCAAAGCGAATAAGGAGTTTCTTAATATACTCTGACTGGTCTATTTTTAGAATACCTTTTGATTTGTCTCTAGTAATTCTAATGCCTAAACAATTTCTTAATTTGCCCAAATTCTTAACATAAAAATTACTTTCTAATAATGGTAACAAATCATTTTTACCAGAGTAAAAAACATAAAAATCGTCGACATACAGTGCCACCATTATTAAATTATTATTATTATATTTCTTAATATACACACATGGTTCACATTTGTTTTGACTATAGCCATTGTTAGATAACAAAGTATGTACTTTTTGCTTCCAAATCCTACTGGCTTGTTTAAGCCCATAAATGCCTTTTAACAACAAACACACTCTGTCATCCCCAACGCCAAAGCCAGGAGGTTGTTCCATGTAAATGGTCTCTTTTAGTTCACCATTTAAAAATGCGGTATTAATATCAATATGGTCTATCTGTAGATCATATTCGTTTGCGAGAGAGAACAATAATCGCAAAGTAGAGTGCCGAACAACGGGTGAAAAGGTCTCGCAGTAGTCAATACCTTTGGTTTGTGTGAAACCTTTGGCAACCAATCGAGCCTTATATTTATCATACTTACCCGAAGAATCGTGTTTTCTCTTATAGACCCATTGACATTTTACCACATGTTTGTCAGTTGGTCGATCCACCAATCGCCAAACTTTATTTGCTAGAAGAGAGTCGAACTCTTCCTTCATAGCAGCTTACCATTCATCACTTTCCGTGCATGTAGTGGCTTCCTCATAAGTTTGAGGTTCATCAAGTGGAGATGCTCCATGCACCATGAGCAAAAAATCAAAATCATAATCTCTATACCTTGAGGGCATGTTACAACGAGTAGATCGAACAGGTCGCTGACTGACATTGCCTACAGAAGCAGGAATACCTTCCCCTCCAACTGGCACGTCGGGCGAAGACATTACACACTCATAGTGCGCGTCGCGCTCTGGCAAAGTAGTTGACTGTGTCTCGGTCTTGTCCTCAACACAATCCCTCAAGATCTCATCTGCCTCTCCTCAGATTTATTTCTCATCATGTATCCAAACGTCATCCTGCTGTGGTCATCCGTAAACGTAACAAAGTACTTTGCCCTTCCAAACCTGCATTTTTGCATTGGGCCACAAACATCTGAGTGTACAAGCTCTAATTGTTGGCTGGCACGACATGCCTCGCTTGCCGGGTAAGGCTGCGCAGACATCTTTCCCTCTAGACAGGTAACGTATTCCTTCAGAGCCTTGTTGTCAGCCTGAAACAGAATACCTTTAGCACCACCACCCTTAAGAGTACACATACCATATAGTTCAAGTGTCCCAATCTTTTATGCCATAATTCAACAGGCACCGAAGCAGCGACCATAGCACTCAATGATCTCTGTCTATCACACAGAGACAGCGAGTCCTCGTTTGACAAAGACTTACCAGACACACACTTAACATCCAACTTATACATACCTTTACACTTAGAGGCTTCACACAAAGGGTTACCAAAAATTTTACAACTTGAGTCATAAATAACACAACCATTATTACTTAAACATACAATGAGACCTTTTTCAGCTAATCCACTAACTGACAATAGATTACAGGACAATTGAGGTACATATAAAACATTTTTAATAATTCTTACCATATTATTATTCGTTTCTAACTTAATATCGCCATAACCCAAGCATTTGAGTTTTTGATTATTTGCTACAGCTACACTTCTATTTAAGCACTGTTTAAAGTTCATAAATTGACTTCTGTCATTACACATATGTGTTGAGCATCCAGAGTCCACATACCAGTCTTCAAGTTTTGCAAGGTAGGCGGAGGCAACAAAAGTGGTGGCATTTTGCTTCCTCCTCTCATCCTTCATGCGCTTGTAACACTTTGATTGCATATGTCCAGATTTCTTGCAATAATGGCAAATAAAAGCCTTATTGGCAACATCCAGTCCATTGCTATTATTGGTTTTGCGGAACTCTTCTTGAAGTAAACGGCTTCGTACAAGCTCGCTTGTGAGCAATGTTGTAATGTTTGCTGTCTCCAGACTTGATACTACATGATCATATTCTTCTGGAAGACCACTGAGTACCAATTCAGCGATTTCATTGTCCTCAATAGTACATCCAATATCAGCCAATTGCTGCGAGAGAGTCATCACCGACTCAATGTAATCCGTCATGCATGTAAATTGGTTGTAAGCAATGTTGTGAAGTTTCCGTAATAAAAGGACGCGTCTGTATAGGCCCTTATCTTCAAAAACACTTGCTAATGTATCCCAAGCTGCTTTTGCTGTAACAGTGCCACGCACATACTGATAACAAGATGGCTTAACAGACAAGCATATCCGTGCCAATGCTCGTGCATCCTTATTTTCATCAATAACAGGACTGGTAGTAACACATGCCCAAATTCCCTCAAGTGTTAAAATATTTTTCATACAAAACTTCCATTGCAAATAGTTAGCCACTCCAGTCAATTTCTCAAATTGGAATCCTGCATTCAAAAATCCCGTGGCATTTGATTGTTCATCAGGCATGATAATATACTGAAAACTGCCGCTCAATAGAGTAAAATTCGTCACAACTATGAAGAACAGAAATGCACACGTGGCTGTACCTTTCTTGGTTTTGTCCGTGCTCCCCACCAGGTTTGGGACTGGGTCCATAACCTGTAAAAGCAGTGAGAGCTGGCAGTGGTGAAGGACAACGTCAAAAATCCACAAAGGCATAAAAGCAATTCGTTCTGGAGCAGGTGGTGGCGGCGGCGACAATTGAAACGCAGACACTTTTCAAAGTATACGCTTGTATTCTCAAATACAAATATTACACTTTGCAAGGAATATGAATCGGTAATATTTAACACTATACGATGCAAATTAAACAATATTAACATGGATAGCAAGCGATCTAAATGCAACAGCAAAATCCCTACATGACGACATTTTTCCAAGAGAACGATTAGGGCAGAGACAATACATCTATATAAAAAGTAGTCTATGGCTACACAACATAAACCATGGACTTAATGCTAATGCAAGAGAGCATATACATGTTCAACAATTTCTCACTATATTGACAATATATAAACTAAAAAGAATAAAATTATTAGTTTTTTTCTTCTTTTCTTTAAATTTGGAATATGGGTAAGCCCTAGCGCCCGTCATAGCTATCATTTAGTTAAGAGTATTAATTATACATATTTTTCGAATAACATATGGGAATAATAATAACTTTTGGGAGGGGGGGACAGGGCCGGATTTAGGATTGTGGAGGCCCCGGGCCACTTAGGATTTGTATTCTTGTTAACCCATCGAAAAGTTGTTATTTCTTAAGCTGTTGTGGAGGCCCCTGGACCACAGCCCCACCTGCCCTGCCCTAGATTCGGCCCTGACCTCCGAGGTAGCGGGCAAGTACCACCCCACTCAGCCATTAAGCGATTGGGGTACTCCCTCAAGATGGGTAGTGAATTGGAAGTGCTTATCAGGGTCATTTGAGATTTTGATATTTCACTGATTCTGTTATTTAAGATTAATATAATCAAATAATCATGTATGTTAGATGTACAAAGTACTGTAGGTAAAGGTAAAAGAGCAAAAAAATCTCTTCGGACGAAGCCTTCGTATAATTAGGATAGAACTTCACTTCAGGTAAGTTCTTTTAATCTCTAATTATATTTCATACTTCGTCCTCGAGATTAGCTTGAATAACAAATGTTGACATTTAGAGACTATTCGAAAAATATTAATAATTGTAATAGGTAACTGAATAATAAAGACAGTAAATATAATATAATTTGCTGCTTTATTTTTGCAAAATAAAAACATAAGATAACCAAAACAAAAACCAAAAAACAAGATTATCTGTGACATAAAAAATTAACATCGCTTATGAAATATACTAAAAATAAAAAATGTTTAACATTTGGCAAACGTATGCGATTCCGAACTCCAACCTGCAGTTTTCATAATCTCATCTATGCTAACACCTAAATTTTGCGCAGCTGACGTAGCAGCATGCCGGGTACTATGCGCGGTAACATTGAAATATTAATCGATCGATGCAATTCATGACATAATTCTTTAACATTGTTTAAAATCCTGGGAAATAATTTAAACGTCTTTATCTCGGTTATTTTTCATACTATATTTTTATATTTTAAAATAAAATAAAAACCAAAATCTTTGTTAAAAAAAGAACTAAAATTTTGTTACTTACCATTTTTTACGAATGTCCAATATTTTTGAAGTTATTTTCAAAATAAAATGAAATTATAAAATATTTCGATTTTATGAAATCATACTTTTATCACGGACCTAAAAAAAAGACGGACGTAACATCAAAGGCAAATCATGTGAAGCATGCAAGGTCAGACAAAACCGTTTGTTGTACACTACTACACTCACACTAATGCACCAGGTCGGACAAAACGCTGCCATTTGACCCCGCGTGACAGCGGCAGTCACACATTCAATTGCTCTGATAAAAATAATTTAAAATGCCATCTTGTGTGGTGAAATCCTGTAAAAACTACACGAATAAATTTAAAAAGTCACAAGGAATTACCTACCATGCGTAAGTACTGACAATTCTTGATATTCATTCCATATTATATTTTATTTACTGGGATGAAAATCGTAAACTAAAATACAACTGTATTAAATACTTTATTTACTGGAAATTTTCCCTAAAAGTAGGGAATTTTGTATTTCTTGCATTTGTGACTCGGTAAGGTCAGATTTCGTAACTTTTTAGGGTTCCTTATCCCAAAAGGAAAAGAATAGAAGCCATATTATTCATAGAATATTTTATATGTTTTATAAAATGGTATGTCCTCGCTGTGAATTCTTTGTTGTTTATGTATATGTAAATATGTAGCAAACTTTTTTGTGTTTAGAAACTGATTGTAACTAATTATTTCTTTGTGTTTTCTTATTGTTTGGTTTTAGTTTTGGTTTTTGTAAGTTCTAGTTTGTCATAGATAAATCTTACTTCATTTTTATTTAATTTTTTAATAAATTCATTTCTCTTGTTTTAAGGCTTAAGATACTAAAAGCATTCAGTCTATGTTGTTATATTTTTTTTTGTCATGCTGATTGGTATGGTTCTAATCTTCTGTTTTATTATTAAATTAAAAATGTCTCGTCAACCCTGCCAGAATTATCAGCGCTGCAGCAGCCCTGGTGTTGCTGTAGTATTAAGCTGAGGCAGGGACCTATTTGGCCTGTATTACTGTGTTCTGTTTTTGTATATCGAATGTTAAGCATGCGACTTTAAGCCTGCATCATAACATTATAAAAGACATAAATAAAGGAGATTGCCCAAATTGGCCTAAATGCACAAAAAATATTGACATACACGGTAATTTTTGGCGTAATTTATAATTTAATTTACAGTCATTTGATTTCAACGGACACCTTTGTATAATATATTTACTTTAAAAGTATTTTTAATTTTACCGGTTTGGAAAACATACGAATCATTTTTAATGGCTATGGGTGTTACTACTAACATTCAGCCAAAGACTGATCGAAGTTATTTATATAACATAAAAACAAATCTATTTTGTAAAGATCGATAAAATAATAAATAAAATAAAATATATTTTTTTTATTACACTGTGGTATTAATATCCACAACTATATTATCATTTTCACTAGATGCAAATGTGCTCAGACAATTATTATAGATGGTAGGCGACATCATAAAGTCTATTGCCATACATTTTTCGCCAAACACCTCCATAAACACATTATATTCTGTATATATGTTAGACTTTAAGGTATCTATCTATGGGCCTACGGTCCCTGACTATAAATTAATAAATAAATAAAATTATAAGGTGTAATATACACTAAAAATCTAAAATATGGTTATCTTAAAAACATAACAAAAATAATGAAGGTACTGAATATATGGCTATAGAACCTAAATCTCTTAGCTTTCTTTGGTTAACGAGAGTTTAAAAATTCTCTCTAATCTGTGGCTCATTCACATTCATCACACAGTTTCTGTCACAGAGTACTTTATTATAACCGGAAATGACACCTGATTTTAAAAGTTACTCTTATGCATTAGCTTTAAAAACAGGCAACTATCTGTTAATGTACATGCATATACCTGAATCTAATCCATAATTTCGGTACTTGGCTTGATTTCACTAGTTTACTATATAACTTATTTGTTTTTTATTATTTTAATATGTTCAGTGTATATGGTTTATAGAAGTTCTCAGGGGTGTCCGTCAATAATATTCGTTTCTACAGTAATTTATATATAATTTCGAATCTAGGAAACAATTTTTCATGATTCTTGGTGTTCAGGCCAAACATGTATGGAAGCTGAGCAATCTCCTTTAATTAAATTTCTGCTCTGCACTTACCAGTAAATATCCCAGAGGTAATTTAAAATGCTAATTGATACCGTGTATTAAGAACACGAATGCTTCAGAAGCAAGGGTTTGACAGTTTTCTGAAGTTCCTGTCCCCATGTCGACATATCTCTTTTCCTCAGTCTGTCAGTCTTTAAATACCTACTACATCTATGAATAAAACACTTACATTTAAAAGAAGAAATAATAATATTAGTGTATTATATTTTTATTTTAAGCATTAATCTGCGCGATTTAGGTATATTAATGTGTAATATTAACCAGATACTTAATTTTTATGTAAATAATGAATTACTTTATACCTAGCAAGTGTTTTCATTTTTCTAACGGTCGTCATAAAAATGATGTTTGATAGGCCAACATTATGTTTCTAAAGTGCACCCGTTTAAATTGCTGAAATATCGGGAGCTCACATCTAATAAAAACTTGGTAAATATCCCGTTATTGTAATATGTATTTATTACAATAACGGGATAATTACCTACATAGTGTTAACAATATTTTAGTTTGAGACATTTAATAAATAGGGAAATCGATGACTTATATGACCACCCTCAAATCACGCACACACGGTAAACGGGCGGCCATTTGCATGCTTCACTCGTGATTAGACGAGGTTACGTCCGCCTTTTTTTTAGGTCCGTGACTTTTATGAAAAAAAAAAGCATTCTAAACCGGGCAAAATTTTTGAGGTTATCACATATTATGCTAAAAAAAGAAAGTCCATAAATTTGAAGTTTTTTTGGAAATGGTGAAGGTTTTATTTTTCGTTTTTTCCAAATAAATTCGAAAGTGTCATTTTATTTTTATCATAACTTGCTGAATTTTGATGCTATTAACTTTTTACAGTGCTCATTAGAAAGGTATTTCTGAGGACTTTAAAAAGTGTTCAGGAAGTATATGTCATAAAATGCATCGGTTTCCCGTTATTTAGATCTGAATACTTAGATTTTAGTACTCGCCAAAAAGAATATACATACTATACCTTTGAATTAATATTATAAGGTTTTACAAAGTAGGGGTTTGTTTGTTTTTTATTAGCTTCCATTTTGGTAATAATAGTTTTTTGTAAAAGCTCATAGTTTTTGAGTTATTTATGAAAAACCGCTTTAAAACATGTATTTTTATCCCGAAAACTCACAATCTTTGATCTTTAATAACTAAGAAAGTATTGATTTATTCTAAAAACTTTATATTACCAATTTTGCTTAGAATTTGTCGCTCTCCTGGAGTTATTTTTATTAAAATAAGTTTCACCCCCGAGAAGGGGTGGCATCTACCCCTAGGGCAAAAGCGCAAGTTGGCATTATGTCACTATTGTTTCTTAAGATCCCCCACCTACTCACCAATTTTCATGAAAATCGATGGAGATTCTATGAAATTGGAGGTGAAAACCTTCATTAACTGGACTATAGTTGTCTCTTTTGAATTTGTGAGATCAATATAAATAGATAATAATAGATAGGTCACAGAACACAGAAAACTTCTTCTTCTTATGTTAGAAATAGAAAACAGGTTAATGAGCAGATTAATTCTGGGGGTTAAAGTAAGACTGCTGTATCGAAAGTAAAAAATTAAAACACCTTTTTTGTTAGATAAAATAGTTATATTATGATTTATTATGTAATCAAAATATTTTATCTGAGAAGGTACAACTCTGTAATTTTATTAGAAGGTGAAATATATTGTAGATGATACGAGTGTAATTTGTAAGTAATTAAATGTTTTAAAATTACTTAAACATCATATCGCCGTATAGGCGAAATGTCAATATTGAGGTTGTTAATTTTTATGTGATTTTTTATATGATCTCGATCACTGTCAGACAACAAGTTCCAACTTTCCAATTCAACGAGAATTTCTAAGCTTAGGCAGCTTCGTATAATTGTTTCAGCAGATACCATGGTCAAGAAATCAGATTGCATAATACGCAATTCCTTTAAATATATCAAAGGATTTTTATTCAAAATCTGTAATAGAAATTCGTCAGTAAATTGAATTGCTGTCCCAATATGAATATATTCTACATTTAAACAGTTTTCAAGTATGAATAGCAGTTGTTCGTTGGTACATGTGGCTACACAAGTTAATCGTTTTAAATTTCTAAATGGCAATATTTCCAATTTTTTCGTAAATAATGAAGTGTGTTGTATGAGAGTACAATTGTAAATAGTAAAACTTTCAAGTAGAGGACACATTTGACTTATGTACATCAAAGCATTCAAATCAATTTGATCTACGTGTTCAAGATGTAAGGCACTTATGTTACATCCTTTAACTTGAAGAACCTGTTTAACATTATCAGCATAAAAATCACATGAAAGTAGTTTTAATTCACGCAAGTCCTGTAGATCTATTAACATCATCAGATCGCTTTGTAACGTATTGTGAAAAACTGTCATGCTCCGAATGAAAGGACACATCTGTACTGCCAATTGTAAATGATTTGAACTAGCATAACGACTGACGTAAACTTTTAAATTAAACTGATTCCTTTCTGGAGCAATTATTGTAACATATTCTAATACTTTGCCAATATTGTCACATCTACCTATGTCTTCTAAAAGTTTGCAATTCAAAAGCAGCTTTGTAAATCCCTCTAGACTTACTGATGTTCTGTATAGTTGTATACTTTTTAATAATTTTAATTGAATTATAATATCTATACTTGCATTTGTTATAGTTATCGAATCGGATATATCCAGGCTCTCAATTAATTTACAATTTTGTACTATACATTTCAAAATATTATCAGTGCAATCATAATTTAAGACAAGGCATTTTAGTGAGTGTAATTCTTTTAATGATGAAATTATCGATCCCTCTAAATCTGCGGTTTTCCATCCGCCTGATAAAGAACCTAAATTTAAATAAACTAGACCTTTCAGAAGATTTAACTTGGAGAAAAAAACAGTACGCAACATTTTAGGTGTTTCCCCCACGGATACGTAAGTAACGTATTTTGTAAGCATTATTTCAGTCATTTTTACTACTACGTTCATTCTACTAACGATTTTTTCCATAGCTCTCCGAAATCCGAATGACTTTTTTATTTTTTCTAAAAGTTCTGTTAGAGCTCGGATTGTTTCAGTGAGCAGCAAATCATGAAGCATCCATGGGACATTATATTCCATAAACAAACGAAGGTTTTCTACCGTTTTTTCTAGCGCCAGATGCGCGGCGTTAGAGTCCTTCTGAGCAACTTCATTGAATGCTTTCATTTGTAATTCCGTTTGCTGGGAAACCCAATCACCCATTTTATGAAGAGCTAACCGCTCAAGATTCTGGGGTTGCTTGTATCTGGACATAATAATTGTTTACCTAAAAAATAAAACAATACGTTAATATAACAAACCACTTAACTAAGTAGGAATTACTGGCTACACATCACACAACCAGACTCCCAGACAAGAGTCGATATGAGTTCTTTTTCTACGTCGAAATCTACGGCCAGCATCTGTCAAACATTTTGAATAAAGTAGTTAAAGAGGCCTTCCCTCCTATCAATAAAAATTACATACTGTATTATTTATTGAATTGCATCAATATTAGCAGTAAACTATTTTTTTATAGCGGTAGGTACTTACCTTATATAAGTATTTGGTAGAATTTAATAATAAACAAAATATAGTTTAATTTTCATCCTAATGAAGAAGCAAAGTAAGAAACATATATTTTATTAAATCTTAATTTATAGGTATTGTATATAACAACGAAGTATTTGAGAGTAAGTAGTAGGCAATAGAATAAAATAAGCGAACTAGACAAAGTATTTTTAGAATGTAACTCAAACGCTGTTCAGTGTATTTTTACCATTCATCGGCTATCCAACCTACATAGCACTTAGTGTTACCATGTGCAAAAAACCTTTTTAAATAAATACAAAATAATTACTTTAAAAAGTGCATAGCAATATTTTGTACAATACCTGTTGTTATCTGACCGCCGAAGGTTTTTGAATGCCCCGCACTCATTTTTTTTGTATTGGTAACAACAATATAAAATACAAAATTTAATGTATTTGAAAACCTTCGGCGGTTAGAAAAAACAAAAATTCTGTTAGGCGATTGACCCCTAGACGTCAGCCCATACGAGATTACTAACGCTCTCAAATAACTGAAAAACAATAATGACGGAATTACAGCAGAACAACTCAAAGCTGGCGGAAAACCAGCACATAAAATGAACTCTGCACTCGAAATTGTCGACAAAAATACCTCAGACAAATAGTCTAGTTGGGTAATTAATTCCAATTTCGAGAAAGTCAACATTAGCGCGAATCCAACCATCATTTGCGTTTTGATATTTGCTGCGAATATTTTTTTGTTCTTTTCGCATGAACGAAATGAATATAAAAGTGAAAGAACAGAAAAAAATGTGATACAGACTCCATAGTTCGGTTTAGGTATTTTAATAACTATTTGTTACTTATTAATATACACCAAATAAAACTTAAAAAAAAACAACAAAACTTAAAGCGAGATAAGGAAGATCAGTCCCATGTGGTTTCTCTTCGTATCTATCAGGTATAGGGTAACGGCACCAGTGGTCAGCCAGGAACCAGTGGTCAACCCTTTGCGTCGTTTATTAGTCATAAATATTGCTAAAATTAGAATAAACGTGGAGAATGCTCATGGATGTATGGACCGCCGTACAATGGTTGCATCAATACCAAACAAATGTTAAATGATCGTTTAATATTCAAATTATTATGACAAATTGGAATTTTGAAAATAAAAACAGGGGGTTTAAAGTTATTGTAAAAAATGTGATATAACCTCAAATCCTAAATAACTCTTATTTAAAGTTGGGTTTACAGCTATTTTGGGTACTTTTTTATTCTGCTATTTTTGATCAACTTGAGTCTTTCACTGTTTTTCCAACCTACTGCATAGATTTTCTTGACAATACAGATTTCAGTGATGGCAGATTTACGTACCTATAGGTAAATAAAAACATTAATATAGGACACTTTTTATTAGATTACATATATTAATTGCATACATTATATTTGAATTGCCAGTATATTTCAAATCACACATAATCTTTATGAAAAAGATAAACTAAATAAGGCGCTAGAGCAGTAACATCATTGTAACGACCCCAACTTAAAAACCAAACTACAGTCATTATGTGGTTGTAACAGCCCACAGGTTGTTTATCAACGAGACAGCTGCAATAATAACCTTTTATAGCTTCTAATGTGTCTGCCAAAGCAGCATCTTTCCTGATAAGTAAATATGAGTTATATGTACGCTGCTTAAGTGTCTGGATTTAATCCTACCTCTTAATAAATAATTATTTAGACCTAAAACAAGAGGTATATCATCTACAAACAAATTCAAAAAAAATGTAGCTTTTGCCTTACAATGTTCTAATGTAGCTCCAGGTTTATTGAAAAGAGTGGCCAATCTTTTGTTGCTATCAGCAGTTCTTAATTTAACTAAATAAATACAAAAGGCTATAGAAGAGTTTGGCACTTGATCTGCTAGATTGGTATACAGTTGAGCAAATTATAAAACTGTCCAGAGTTCATAACAAGCCAATAATGACATAAATGAGGAGACATAATTGAAACATTAGAAAAATCTTACTTGTAATTGGCTGATGGCTGTATCATAATCATTATATTATCAAACTATGTGCCAGTAAAATCTGTTAATTAAGATTCATTCCATGAACTATAATTCAAATAGACACATGCACCAGCTGGTATGCACAATTTATTATTATACAATAAGAGATGGCAGACGAAATAAGTAGACATTCAGGCTCTAAACAATTTACAAATACACAGTGACCAGGAGTGTTAGCAGCATGAATGATGATGATGATACAATTTTTAGAGTCACTTGTTGAACTGCTTCTAGTCTTGGTTGTGGCAGAGGAGGTGGCACAGGTATAGAACGATTGCCACTTAATGTAGTATCAACAAGAGTAAGGCGATTTGAGTTATGTTGTACTTGTTGAGTTGCTGATCTTCAACATGCAGCACTTACATGTTCCATTCTTCAGATCTAAAAAGATAACATTAATAAGAAATGAATAATTAATATGGAAAATTCCTTTTTGTTTATTTTAAAATAACAGTTTCATAGGTCTCAAGTTATCTCTTGCGAGTTAAAAAAGTTGTGACAAACAGTGTTGCCAACTCGGATTTTGAAATTGAAAAAGACGTAGGCCCGATGAGAAAATTACGTAGAATTGGTAAATTTTGCATATGAAAAGTAAGTAGATCTACGTACTTTTTTCTGAGTGAAATGAAGAAGTTATTTGAAACCGAATAAAACGAGTATTTTGTTATACAATTTGTTTAAGAACGGGAGAACAAAGAGTTCTTGGAGAAGTCGCTGCATTGGAAATTTGGAAGCATTTACCATGCTGTGGTAAACATTTACCATCAGACACAGACACTGGTGGGTGCCGATTCTGGATGGTTCTCTAAATTTAAAACTTAATTTAACATCAGTGATGTCGATTATGGCATGGTTCTTTAAAGCTTAACTTAAGTTTGACAACAGTGCATCCTTGTCATTCTCTATACAGAACGAAAAGGAGAGACTGATGTTAAATTTAGTTTTAAGTTTAGAGAATCACGCCAGAATCGACAATAGTCTCTCCTTTTCATTCTGTATAGAGAATGACAAGTATAAACTGTTGTTAAATGGGCTAGTTGACACTTTTTGGAATTATGTTTTAAATTGTTAATAATTGTTCTATCAGAACGAAAAAAAATTTTTTTTTACCTAGAAGACATACAAAAACGCTCTTTAGTCTATAGACTTATCTATGCTATGACGTCAAAACATTTGTAAACAAACACTCGCAAGCACGTAGGAAATAAACAGCTAAGTTAATATTATAAAACCATGATTTCTAATAGATCACATGAAAAATATAGTAGTTATCATGATACACTTGGTAAAAGACTGAAAAGTTGTGGTTTAAATTGCCAAGAGAAAAAACATACTTACACATGAACATATGCTTAAAACTTGCTTAATCCTGTAACTTTATCGACTGAAAGTCTTTTCTTTTTGCAAAGATCAATTCGATGTGAGTAGGTACTCATAGATAGTATATTAAAAGTTTAAAAATACAATTTTTAAGGTTATGAATGTACCTACTAAGTCAAAGAGTTTTGTCGTTTCTGCTTTCATAAATCCTGCGTCCAGCATTAATTTAGTCAACAAAACCAATAACGGGAACCTTTTGTACAAGACACAAGAGTGTTTAGATACATCTTTATAAGAAATAAACATTTGTATAGTTTTTAAGTAAAGTAACGGAAAATATTCTTCTTTATTCTAGTGAATTAAGTTATTTTACAAATTCTGGGACTGAAGTTAGTAGGTTTCCAGAAAAGGCCTAAAATACGTAGATCTACGTAAAAATACGTAGAGTTGGCAACACTGGTCTACAAATCAATGTAGAAATTTCTGTATCTCTCATCATCTGTTAGCTGTCTAGTGATAACAAAAAAAAAATCTAAATGTTACCATGACTACTACAAAGAAAAAAAGGCGGGAAACGTTGAAGTAGGCGGGCGCGTTTTTACCCGGCTGCGCAATGCAAGAGCGCGAAGCGCGACGCGCAGACAGGGTTATGTGTTTAACAGTCTATATATGTATGTTTGTTCCTTTGTGGCACACTAGAGACCAAACGCCTGGACCGATTTTGATGATTCATACATCAATCGATTCGTCTCAATCATGGGAGTGCTACTAAAGATATGATAGTAATCAAAATTCAATATGGTCAAAATTAGGCGCCATATTGTGACGAAGTAAAAAAAATAAGTTGACAAAATATGTCGAGTGAGGTATCACTGTCTAGATAATCAAAAATCATATTTAAGTTCCTAACACCATTTTTCATTTTATATGATTGTTTAAGATCTACAACGCTTTAAGTTGTATATTAACCACTTACGCTTTTAATTTCAATCTTACGTTAGTATGGATTTTTGTTGCTCTTTCACCTAAAAAATACTGAATGGATTTTAATGAAACTTAACAGTAATATAGCTCATATATGATAATTACATATATATAATAATTTATGTAGTTATTGAGAGAATTGGCCAATATATAACAATAAGTGTCACATAAGACGGAAAAAAATCTCCCATTTGCGAGCCATTTTGGCCTGCACTGCAAAAACAATAAAAGTTACATGAATGTAATGTAGAGTGAAAATGTATCTCTTAAATAGTTCTAAAAAAAAGTCCGTGACACCATATATCTATTTTTAATGTGTAAGTCCATTACAGCTAAAATAGTGAATCAAAACTAAAATATTATTTGATATCTATTTCCAAAATGCACATTTTGTATTAACAAATCATTTTTTATCAAAACAAATACTTTTATCGCTTTTGATATTTAAAGACGACAAACTTTACTTTTTACACTATGTCATTTCGACAAATATTTAAAAAGTTACAACGATGACAAGTGATAGCGCGGTGTACTATGTAAAAGAAAAAAAATGGGGTATTCGCAGTATCTGATCCTATACGAAGTACTAACAATAAAACTGTGATACAGTTCCTTCTTATTAAATGATGAGAAATATATTATCATAATAGGTATTTATGATTATTGAATTTTAATGAAAAACTTAGAATTTTACTGTTTTTCATTTTTTTTAACGATATTACTTAATGTTACAAAAAGGTTTACTTAATATAATGACAAATAACCCATTTTTCGCTAGTAAGTACAGACTTATTGGAATCCCTGTATTTATTAATCAGCTCGCGATAATATTGGTTTTGTAATAATTCTGCAAAATTCAAAGTAAATAATGTAGATTTTTATAGGTAAATCACCCCTTTCATCACCCTTCGCCTATAAGTATTGCGATGTTGTAGCTAAGAACCATTAAGTTCCCATCTACTTCTATATGGGAATTCATTATATTCGATTTAGCTATTAGGGCACGGAAGCGCAACAAACAAACTCACTTTCGCATCTATAATATTATATTATACTTACTAGTGATCCACCCGGGCATTGTACGGGCGAAATTTATTTATCGGGATAAAATATAGCCTATGTCACTCGGACAAAATATATTTAAATAAAGAAAAATGTTATAATAAATAATGTAGCTACCTTATGATGAATTAATATTTGAAACCGGTCCAGTAGTTTGACAGATTATTTGTTACAAACATACAAATCTTGCCTCTTTATAATATTAGTATAGACAGTTAGGATAAGATAAGTATTTAATTGATGAAAAAGATTTAAAAATAAAGTAAGTAATAGGTTTATTTGATTATATTTGTAAAAGTTACTTAGCATTTGTGCTTAACAGTGATACGTTATTCGGTATTTTTATAACAAAAAAAATGGGTGCGTGTACTTATGTAGGCGCGTGAGAAGTTATCCTTCTTTGGCATCGTTTAAAATTAGTTTTTAATTGCATGCAAATAATTAATTACAATAAATTAATAAAAAGTCTGGAAAAGGACACAGTCAATAAAGTTCAGTTTTAATTTGAAAAAATAAATAAATAATCATAATATTCAATTAAATCGCTACTGAATATAATTTATTAGAACATATGTGATTTGCACTTGTATGAAACTCAAACACGTATTCCGA